CTCTTAAAGTCCACACTCTACATTCAAAATGGCTTAGAAAGACTGGGTTATAAGAACACTAATCTTGTCAGTCTGAGAATATGATTACTTCTCCTTGGCTTCATACATCTATGCATAGGTATAAATATGTTAATATTGATGTTTGCAAAGTATGTGTGCCAAATGCCCTTCTCTATTTCTTGTTCAATACTAAAAGCTATGTCTCGTATTGCGTTAATTAAGCAAGAAAATTGTTTCTTTATATATCAGTCTAGATATCCCTTATGCATAAGACAGAAGACCTTATTAAATAATTTCAGAGCTTTGACAGCTCAGGCACTGGTGGCTAGACTTTTAGCGGAAAATGTCCCTCTCTAAATCTGACCCTATAAGTGTGGAGTGATTGCCTTCCAAACTATCCACACACTTCCGAGTTCACCATACAGGGGACATGCTTGTTAGGGATATGATGGTTATTACAAGTGCCAGTAACCATGATTCACATGAAAGAACTTATCTCGGTATCATCATGCTTTAATTTCTCCTGCTGGGTTTACTATTTCTAAGTTGGTCAAAGGCTACCCAGCTCTATTCTCATTGGAAAGTGTTGCTTGACTACTGCATATTTGCTGTACTTAGAGAGCCCCTGAGAGATAGTGGCAGCCATATCGACTATTTTGGAAGCTGTGTTCATGGGGGGAAAAACGGGTGAGGAGTACTGGTTCTGAAGCTGAAGAATCTGGGTTTCCTTATTCACTGGTATTAGAGTGTAAATTCCAGTGAGGTCTGGAGTGATCCAAGGGAGCATGTGGATTGAAAAAGCCAAATGTAACATAGAATTTAGAAGAGCAAAATAGACATCAAGGTGAAGTGTGAGTAATGGGGGGGCTTGGGAGACAATTCTCTGTTGCTCTCTAGCATTTCTGAACATCTTAGGAGCAGACATAATGACTTTTATTCAATCCAGATATTTCTATAGTAAACAGTGTTAGAGATCAGACATAATGTCTCTTTCCAAAGCAAAGAACTGGTTTGTTTACAGTTTTGGAAAGCAGAGGTGGTGTTTCTCTCTGGAACTTAGGGCTGGGATGCATGATGTGGCTTTCCCAAGTTGATAGTTCCTCTTCTGTCATGCACTCTGTTTGTAGGTGCCATCTGACCCTTTTTAAGTTGCCCTGTGGGATTGGGGGGTTGGGGAGCAATGCAAACAAGACGCTCAAACTCCTTGCTGTGCTTTGAATACAAGTCCTTTGTCCTGACCCAGGAGCCTTCTATCTTCTACCGACATCCATGAAACTGTAGCAGAACAAAGTGTTGGCTTGAAAGTAGGGTAAAGTATTAGAAACTCCATAGTTCTTGACAAAATGTGGGGAAAAGATGCAAGATGTAAAAGAACTCTAGATGGGTAGGAGAGTAAATAGCCTGATAGTACCATGGCCATGTTATTCTAGGCACCAGGGACACAGCCCTGACCATGACGGGCAGTTTCCCTCCTCTCTTACTGCATGCTTACTAAGGAGCAGAGACAAATATAAATAGGGTGAAAAAAAATGTCGCAAATTTCAGAATAGAAATGTTACAATAGGAGAGACAGAGAAGGACGGGGAAAGGGAGGCGAGAAAGAGGGAGGGAGGGAAAGATAGAACAGCAAGAGTAGAACACTGAGGCTTGAACAAGAAAAATAAAATCAGTGTGTGGCAGGAACACAGTGAGGGAGAGGAAATGTGATACTGGATGGATTAGCAATTTCTGTAGGAACCACATCACCTTGGAAATTATAGACTTCCGTAAGGAATCAGATGGGGCAGATGCTTTTTCTTTTCCATTATGAATTTATTTTGACTCACTTTCCTCCCTAATTTTTAAAAAAACAAAAAGCTCATTGATGCCATGAGTATTTGGAAAGTAAGGAATGTACTTGCACTGTGGATTGCATAATCTCTACAGCAGCCTTCCAATGTGCCAACTTACTCCTTCTCTTGACTAGATGTTGCTGGAAATTACCAAAACAGGTTTTCCCCTCCATTATCATCTGGCTTTTTGGAACAAATTCAGGAGGAAATGCCTTCACCCAGAAACTTTTAGAGAACAGAATGATGCATCTAACAACTAGTATTGCTATTGCTAATAAAACACTAATACTTCCATTACTACTAAAATTAATGGTGTAAAGTTGAGAAGGCTAAGGAGAGGGAGGAAAAAGACAAGGGAGAAAACAGCAACTTATGGAGGGACTCAGGTACCAAGAATTGTGCTCAAAGCTTTACATTATTTTTCTTTTCTTTTTTTCATGAAGTACTAAAATTTAACTGTATATGAAAATATAGAAAACTCTGTCCATATCCTCAGGGTAAGGAAAGTTTTGACACAAACACACAAAAAAATGGAAAAGATTAAAAACTTCCACCAAGAGGGAGATTCTTCCACAAATAAAAATAGTAGATATTTCTAGAATTTACAAAGAAGGTATAATGCTCACCATCAGAATATATAAAGAATCTCTACAAGTCAGATTTTTTTTTCTAGCTTCTGAATTTTTAATTTACTTTCTTTTATTAAGGTAACATTGTTTTACAACACTGTATATGACTTAGGAGACTAGTTCCATACCTCTTCAGATGAATGTTATCACACCACCCCCACTGCAAATGATACCATGTACCATTGAGACCCTTCCCCACTTTATTCTCTCCTCCCCCTTTTGAGTAGCTTCAGTTCTTCAGGCTTATTTCAAGGGTTTGTGTTGCTTTAGTTTTTTCAGTTCCTTGGTTCTGTTTCTCTATATTCCACATATGAATGAAATCATTTGGTATGTATTTTTTTTCCTTCTGACTTAATTCACTTAGTACAATCCCCTCCACTTCCATCCATGTTGTCATGAATGACAAGAGTTCACCTTTTCCTATAGGTGAGTAGCATTTCATCATATATAAAAAAGTACATCTTATGTATCCATTCATCTTTAGTTGGGTTGTTTCTATAGTTTGGCTATTATATATATTTTTATTTTTTTAAAGGATATCTTTTTTTTTTTTAAGATTTATTTATGTGCAGGACAGTGAGAGGATTCACCAGAGACAGAATGGGGAACAGAACAGGCAGACTGACTGAAATACACGGCTGAGGGGAGCAGCGGGCATGACTGGAGAGGTCAGCCACGCCATGTGGGACCCTTGCTGGCTGTCCAGGATCAAACCAGCGCTGCAGAGGCTGCAGACAGCTTTGCAGCACAGTGCTCAACTGCCTGCACCACCAGGGGAGGCCCATTTTTTTTTTTATATTTTTTAAAAGATTTATTTATGTATGCATACAAGAACTGGGGTGCAAGCCAGAGGTGTGGGGGGGTGAGAGGATTCACCAGAGACAGAGTGTGGAGCAGAACAGGCAAATCTACTGAAATACACTGCTGAGAGGAGCAGCGGGAGAGACAGGAGAGGTCTTGCTGCGCCATGTGGGTTGCTCCCTGGCCACCGGGGGATCTAACTTGTGCTGCAGTGGCTGCCAATAGCTTGATAGGGCTGGCTTTAACCCCTGTACCACCAGGAAGGCCCTAGTTTGGCTATTATAAATAGTGCTATAATGGACATAGGAATGCATATATTCCTCTGCATTAGTGTTTTTGCATTTTTTGGGTAACAGTGGAATTGAATTGTACATTAGATCCATTTTTAACATTTGTGAAGAATCTCCATACTGTTTTCTACAGGGGCTGGACAAATCAATATTCCCATCTATAGTGTACAAGGCTTCCATTTTCTCCACCCCTTTGCCAACATTTGTTTTAGGTACTTTTTTTAAACTTCAAAATTACTCTCCAAAATGCTCTGATGCTCCTTTCAGAGATAGAAATTCAGAGAGGACATTCTTTGAGATTTTCCAGAAACTTATGCCTATGGCAGGATTTGAACCTTGAAAGTAGTTGACTCCAGAGCCAGGATCTGTACAAAATATGCAGGGCATTTCCAAATGCAGCATCTTTTTACATTGCAGGTGTTCCTTCTCTTATAAAGCAAACAGCTTTGTCATCAGTGGATAGAAAATTGTAGTATCCTAGAGATTATTAGGTTCCATCATGGGACAAAATGATGGGTGGTTTTTATCTGCATTGTTTGAAAAGCCTGGCTGTATACAGCAGCTGAAATACAGCACCCAACATTTTCTCCAGTGGATGCCACAGCAGACAGCAGATGCGCAATGTCCACATAGTAAGGCAGGCAGAAGGGCCTAAATCAATCATCTAGCCTGAGAGGATAGCTGACCCATGCTTTATCCCAGCTGCTTATAGACTTTAGTCCTTAGGAAGAAAAACAATGCGTTTCTAGAAAATATCTCTAAAGAGGAAGGATTACAATTACCCTAGAGAAATTGCCTCATAAGTGCACACAGTCAAAGGGAAAGGACACATAAAATTATCTGAGCTAAAAAGATAGCTTTGGTTTACTAGAATAAGAGAACATCAAATCCAAGGGGATCTGAAATTCATTAGCAATTAATGACATGTTACTACACATGTTTAAGAGATTGCCTAGACCAGTGTTTCCAAAACTGTGTTGCAAAGAATGCATGTTTCTAGAAATCTAATGTTCTATAAAATTAAGATTTCATAGTTTAAAAAACCTCTAGCAGAATTTATTTATCCATTGTTCTTTCTTAGTAACAGACCCTGTTTGCTTCTACTTGGGGAAGGTTTATATTCATTCAGTTGAAGAATCCATTGAAATGTCTTACTAGGGGGCCTCCCCTGGTGGCACAGTGGGTTGAGCACAGGGCTGTGAAGCTGTCCACAGACTCTGTGGTGCCAGTTCGATTCCCACCCAGCTGGGGAGATGGCGTGACAGGCCTCCCCTGTCTCTGATGGATTCTCTCACCCCCATGCCCCCCCACCCCGTGCCTCTGGCCTGTACCCCAGCGCTTGTATAAATAAGTAAATCTTTAAAAAGAAAAAAGAAATGTCTTACTAGGAATCGTACTAAGAGAGAAGTTCGTTGTTGTTGTTGCTTTTTTTTTTTTTACAGTTTACAAAGTGGACACTCATCCTTTTTACTTAGAGTTAATGTCAAGTCTATATAGTACAGTACCTACATTGTCTCCTGGAGAGCAAAATTGATAAACATGATTTTAAATCTAGGACTCTTTTTCCAGGTTTGTTTCTTTTTTCCATGTACTTTTCTCATCTGTGTTTCTTTCCCCATACGAACATCCTCCACTTTTTCAATGTGATATGCTCTTTTCCATGCAGACCTGTGAATGAAGACTCAGAGCCCTCGGAGGCCAATGGTTCTGGCAGGTCTCATGGCATCTACGTGAACAGATGGTCTCCAACACCTTCTGAGTCAGCGAGCACCATTACAGCAAGTCATTTTACTTGGGGTACCCAGGTATTTAATCACCTTTTTTCCTCAACAAGAAATTCTGTTTTTTTTTTTTAATTTGAAAATTTTTTTGAGATAACATTGGTTTATATCATTGTTACTATTTTGGTAGCATCGGAACCCCCCTTCAGGAATTCACCCACCACCAAAGCACCAAAGCACTAAAGCATAGTCCACCTCCATAGTCCACTGTTTAAGAAGTTCTTTAGAGAGGGCTTTAAGAAAGGTTGAAAGAAATTCATTTTTGCCATTTCCATGTTTTGTTTTTCTACTTGAGATTAATATGTGATGGCTGGAGTTTCAGTAGTTCATAATCTGGGAACATTGGATTGTTTTTAGGATAAAATATACAAAATTAGCATAGTAAAACCTACATATGAAACTTACTTGTGGCACTACCATTCCAGGCCTAGTGTTGCTACTTCTGAACTCAATTTTGGCAAGAATATAAAAAAAAATTATAACCCTAATGCTAAGGTTCATTGTAGCTAGGTATCTACTACATACAAACAATTGGATACAATTCCTGATACACCCTGTATATTCCACTCTCTATATTCTTACAGGTTTGTAAATACTTTGCTCATTAAAGATCCTGAAAATCATTGTCATGAGTAATACATATATTTAGACATCAAACAACTATTAAGAAATTGCCATGTGCCAGACAATGTGCTAAAGAGTGAGAATGTGGAAAAATAAGAGTGATTGACTCTGAGATCGTCATGGAAGTCTTACCCTAAGAAACTGAGTGACATTTTGAGGATTGAATAGGTGTTTTTGGAATAGAGAAGAAATGGAAATATAAGGCAGGTAGAAAACATAATAAATGAAATAGAAATGTGGTGTTTCCTAAGAACTTCAGCATTTTTGAGAAAACTAGAGTTAAAAGTGAGTTCAGTCTTTTGGGGCTTATGTAGGCCTAGGGCAGAATCACACATTTGGAGAGGTAGACAAAGGCCAAACTGTGACAGACTTTTAATAGCAATTGCAGGAATTTCAGCATTATACTCTAGGAAAAATGGCACCAGTAGGCAGTTTTAGCGAGGAGAAACAAGATTGAATTTGTGTTCTTGAATGATCTCTCTGGCATTGATGTGGAGGTTAAATAAGGGAGCCTGATATTGGAAAATGGGTGAGGTAGGCAGAAAAAAATAGATACAACAAAGCCAAACTGGAGTGTAATGGAATGATTCAGGCAGATATCAAGAGAGCGCAAACCATTGCAGGAGCAACTTTGTTGACTGACTAGTAAAGCACCACTCGTATTTACTCAGGGGCCAACCAACATGAATTCCTTGATCCTAATCAACAGTTACAGGAGATGAATGCATACCATCTCTTATACCAATAGAAAGCCCTTGTTTACGGAAAATGAGCTAGATTTTTAAACCCTTCCTATTCTCCGGTTTTAAAAATTACTGCTTTTTTAAGAGCACACACATACAGATACTTCTTTGATCAAATCTGATTCTCCTCCTAACTCCCTAAGTTTTCTCCATGCAGACCTCTCATGATCCCGGGATAAGAATAGTATGCTCATTGTTTCTTTTTTTTTTTTTATTTTAAAGATTTATTTATTTTTATAAAAGAACCCGGGTACAGGCCAGATGCACGGGAGAGTGAGAAGATTCATTGGAGACAGAGCAGGGAACAGAACAGGCAGACTGATGAAATACACTGCTGAGGGGAGCAGCGGGAGAGACAGGAGAGGTCTGCTTTGCCATGTGGGATTCTCGCCAGCTGGCCAGGATCGAACCCTCACTGCAGAGGCTGTGGACAGCTTCACAGTGCCAGCGCTCAACTGCCTATGCCACCAGGGAGGACGGCTCATTGTTTCTTATTAGGAGTTAAAATCCTTTCTATTTTCCCAGAACCCCAGAAACCAGGATCATCTTCACCAAGTGATACCATTTGCATTGTGCCATCAGTAACCACAGCCTCCACAAAACCTGTGTAGTCTTAGTGTCAGAGGAAACCATTGTTTCCTTGGGAGATACAGACACCTTTAGAATTTCTTAGCATCTCTAAAATTAAATCAACAAAAATGCATATCCAACCTTGTGAGTTCCTGTACCAACATTTTACCACACACACCAAATTCTGAGATTCTCAGCTTTTGAACAATCCCACCTCTGAGGGATAGAGTGTTTACTTTGAAACCTTTTGCAAAGGGTATAAAATATTTCTCAATGATTCATAGCCGAGGAGTTAAATTTTTATCATGGTCTCCCTCTTCAGGTAAATTGTCTTTTTTTGTTTTAATGTGATTATTTTTTGCCATCATTTATCTCTCAGTTTAAACTCTCATTACTTCTACCCTGCTGACTAGATTTCTAGAAGAATTTGGTCAGTGTTTGAAGAATTAGTATTTCAGTACATTCATACTGCTTCCCCCCACCATCTATATTCTACAGGATCCTGCTTCTGACTTATTCCTTTAGGAACTGTTTTCCTCTCAAGCCCATGACATGCATCATCTCCTGTGAGAGAACATATCCAAGAACTAGTATGAACAGGGATTTTTGCCAGACAGCATCACCACCTCTATTGCATTATGGCAGAGACTGAGGACACAGATTGGAGGGATAATTGTGTGATGGTATTGCACAACCAGTGGGCTTAATAAAAAAAAAACAAAAACAAAACTGGAACACAATGATAGGTAACTTAGAAATGTATTACATCAAAGTAGCCTACTTACAAATATCTTATTTATTTTTATTTGGAATCCTCCTTGTTTCCTAAGTGGCTAATGATACTCATATCTCTGTTTCAGTATCATTAGTCTATTAAAAGTTTTACTGGTGCCCTAGGTCACAGACACAAAAGAAAAGGACATCATTGCACATGGTAGCACTTTCTCTTTTTTACTCCACTTAAATTCAACATTTTTATTTCCATAGAATTAGAGAATATATTCAATGGGACAAAAAGGTAGTGATAGATATTTTGGGAATTGGAAAGTGAGAGAGCCATGAAGCTCAATCTATTTTTTTCACGAATGGAGAAGGTAACACTGGGGTAAAAAACATGGCACTGAACCTTTAAAACATCTATAAAGCTAAACTTTTCAAGAATTAGAGGCATTTATTTCCTCATGTCTAGAAAGCATCATCACTATAGCCCTCTAAAATGAGTCAGAATCACAAAACTTCATAGAGCCTGAGAGAAATCCTTTTGGATAGTTCTTAGAGATCATCAATGCCTGAAAATCTCTATGGAAACAAAATCCCCACAGCAGTTAAGTGACTTTTCCAGTGTCACACAGCAACATAGGCTAAATCAGCCTTGCTGAGCCCTATGTCAAAATTAGTATTATGCATGTGCTCCCAGCATGAGGCTTCTAATCTTGCACCTTCCACAATGTGTGTGTGTGTGTGTATGTAAAGACACAGTTATTTTCTATTCTTTTAAAGATTTATTTATTTATACCAAAACTGGGGTACAGGCCAGAGGCACGGGAGGGTGAGAGACAGAGCGGGGAGCAGAACAGGCAGACTGACTGAAATACATTGCTGACGGGAGCAGTGGGCAAGGCAGGAGAGGTCTGCCATGCCATGTTGGTATCTCCCTGGCCGGCTGGGAATTGAACCCACACTGCAGAGGCTGTGGACAGCTTCACAGCACGGCGCTTAACCCGCTGAGCCACCGGGGAGGCCCTATTATCTGTCTATTTTGCAGAAAGTACAATCTGGACTTTAAAAAAAAAAAATCTAACAAAGTCAGCTAATGAAACAGCATTTGAGCCAGTGACAGAGAACAAAGATTCTCTGTTTAGAAGCTAAATGTGACATCATTCAAATCGTATTTTTCAAAGTAGGTAGGACATTTTATGTAATTATTTCTCCTAGGGAAAGGAGACATGAGAACACATTATTTCAAATAATAAAAAAGGCCTTTATTATATTCAATGGAGGCTCCACTAGTCAAAAGATTAAAACATCTTCGTTAGGTTTCTAGAAATAATTAGTAAACCAGTTTCCTAGGATCCCATTCTCTCACAGTGGGGTGCATATTGAGAGCCCTTGGACATGAAAGATTAGCTTAGAGAGAGAAAAAAAAAACAATCAATAATCGAGTGAAAGGAAGGACTCCTCTTTTTTTGAGTTACACCTTTAGTAATTAATCAAACAGATATATTTTACTTTCCTTCCAAAAAATACATTTTTAGAGACCATTCAAATATAAATTGCTCTCAGAATCATGCTAATTGACTCTCTGGTAATTCAAGAGTTGACTTCATGATGAAGAAGATAATGATAAGCTCTCAAGGGAATTTAAGGAAATTTGATTTTTAAGAGCAGTTCTCATATATTTTTTTTCAAGCTATAAACAAGAAGAAACACTGAGCAGTGGAAACTTGAGAATGACACCTTAAAGGGACAGTAATGCCAATATTCATCATTTATTCCCCAGGGTAAAAGGAGGTAAATATTTGAATTACAGCTCGATAAACTGAGTAAGAATCACAAATTTTAGATGATAGGATGAAGCCGTTTCCCACTCAGCTCTACAGTTGTGGTCTTCCAAAGTGTGAAGACTTTGTAATCACTCATACTTCATTATTCTTTGTGGAGGAGAAAGGCCACTTCCTACCACTTCACTGCAGAAGAAAGGCTTAGCATTTATAAAGCAGCATCTTGCATACTATGTGTTAATCACTTAAACTGAGAAAATGGTGACAGTAAAGTGGAATAAACTGGCAGATACCAGTGTTACTAGGTGATTAAGGTTAAATTCACCAGAGTAAGGACTAATCCACAAGTACCCTGAGGTGATGCACCTCTAAGAATCCATCACTTCTGTGAAACTCCCACTAAAAGTGCCTGGTCTGAGTCTGGGTGTGAAGCTTTATCAATGATCACATGGACCTAAGTTGAGGTGCAGACTATGGAATTCAAGTCCTCTCCTTTGAAAACTTGTCATGGATACATAAGACAGGAGAGTACTGAAGAACTAACTCAGGCTGGAAGAGCAACACAATGAAAGGCAACACAGTGTCTTGGGCAGAATCAGAACCAGAACAGGAAAATTGACATCTGGGAAAATTGACACTGGGGGAAGCTGACAAGATCTGAATGGGAACATGGGTGTGAATAATGATATTGTACCCATTTTGAGTTCCAGATTCACAGGTTCTATGAAGGTTATTCAAGGAAGAATCCTTGTTTAGGGAACATAAAGACTGCACTGTTCGAGGTGAGGGAACATTGTGTCTACATCCTCTTGAGAACTTAAGGAAAGGGTGAAAAATAATTGCTATATATTTATACATGGATAAATAGGCACATAGAACATGTGGCAAAATTTTATAATTAAAGAATCTGAGTAAGAGGAATAATAGATATGCTTTAATAAAACCTTATAAAATTATATATGTTCATACAGATATAAATATGTAGACATATGTTCATATAAGTGTGTGTGTACATATATGTATATATATAAAGAGAGAGAGAGAGAGAGAGATATACCCCAGTATTGAAGGCCACATGACATTGGACACAATACAATTATTTTCATTTATATTTACGTTGGGTGCTTAATTTCATCATCCATTAGTTCAACATATACTGAGATTCTACCATGTTTGTCCCACTGTTTGGGGTTTAAGTTTCACAGGAGAGAACAAGAAAAATAAATATTATGTCCCAAAATATCAAAACTGTAAGGGAAATCAAAACTGTAGGTCTTTTTCTTCAGTAATTAATTCATTGGAAGATTATTTTCATTTGTTATTTTTAGACATTCCAATGACCTTGTGAAAGGAGATGAGGGAATCTGAAGAGGAAGTTATGTTTAACAGGATAATAAATATATCTACTGAAGCCTCTTCTTTATGGAAAACATACACGCTTTTCCAATTTCTGGGATCTTGAATCTAGAAGGTATGCCACTGTACTAGTATTACCAGTATTATGAATAGAGTTTTTAAAAAAAATATTTTCCAAATATCTTCACAAGTATGATATTGTTTGTCAGTGCTGAAAGCGGTTTGGTAATGCACTGCCTCCTCAAATAGTTAATACTGTATTCCTTTTTTTCCAGTTCCACAGTTCCTTGAATTTCAAAGGGCAGCAACATTCTGCATAAAAGAATAAAGACCAAAAATCCTAATAAATTGTGGTGGAGACCCACAGTGAAACATTATTTTTTTAAGTACTTAAATTGAAACAGTGAAGAAGTGGGTGTCCACAATATATTGACTCATTTTATCCCAAGTTCAATTTTTTTTAATAATAAAACATTTTTATTGGCTTTATATATTTTTCTCTATTATATCTACCATAAATGTACACTATCAAAACCACAAAGGAAAAAAATCTTAGAATTTCAAAGAATGTTGGCAATCTCATTAAGGTTTGATGTTTGGTCTTTATTTTGTTTTCTCAAGTTGTAATATTTTTTATAATTGGAATTTGACACATGACTATTAATTATTATCCTGTTAATTATTGCATATTCCATATTCTTTTAGTTAATGCATAATTTGAATTTACTCTTTTAACACATGATTAGCAGTTATTCAGAATATCTGTACATCTTAAGAAGTAGAATTCAACCTAGAGCATATATTTAAATAGCTAAATCATTTCAAGCCCAATGTTGCAACATACAAGAAACATCAAACAAATGAAAAGCAGCCCCTCAATAGGAAACTCGTGTTGCTAATAAATAACAATCAAATAAATAAATGTGTTAAAATGCCTATACATAAGGGCTAAAGAAAATTAACAGAAGAGTATGCTTACCTCCAGTTAAGTACCAAGGATGTTTCTGTGGAAGATAACAAGGGAGATGGCAAGACTGAATAGAAGTTTGTCCGATAATACAAAAGAAACTAGTCTCAAAAGATAGAAAAGCATGGGAAAAAATAGAATGTGATGATATATTCATTACTGCCTCAGCACGAAGAATGTGTGTGTGTGAGATGGATGAGTGAGGATTGTTTATAAAGGTGAGAATGGAGAGGGATATACCAGATCTTGAGAAACTTTTTTTTGTTCATTTGTTTTTAATGTTTGAATTTTATCCTACAAAGTAAAGGAAAGTAAGAAGTTCAAAAGGAACATTAGATGGAAAAAATGCATAATCCTAGAAAAACAGTGAAAACCATAGTTAGCAATTGGGTAGTATACAAGAATAAAAGGCATTCAACAATAGGAAATAAATAAGTTGTTATACACTGAAATATTTTGCATATATAATTATATCTAGTTTAATGTTTCATTCATTCTGAAGTTGCCTTAGGGTGGGGTCCCATTATCCCTCCAAAGGCATTGTGTGGCATGTGAAGGTTTAGGCAACTGTGTGTATATGCTGCCCATAGTTCATTCTCCTCACAATAACCAGAGTAACTATTTAAAAACTGAAATAATATCATGTCACCCTTTTAACTGAAAACCTTCCATGTCATCCTATTTCACTTAGAATAAAACATGGATTCCTTTACATAGCCTGCAGGATAGGCAGATTCTAGACCTCGCCTACTTCTCTAGTCTTATTTCAAATGCACTCCTTATCCCTAATTTCCAAGCATGTTGGCCTTTTGTCACTTTTTAAAATAATCCATGTTCTTCAGTGAGTATAGACTTCCAAATTTACTGATTCTTCTGCATAAAATGTCTTTCCTATTAGCTGAGTGTCTATTTTATATACCTTATGTTATAGATTAAATGCCACTCAACTCAGAAATGCAATTCCACATGGTTCAACCTAATATTACATTATATTCCTCTCCAGGCCATCGTGACACTAACTGCTGGAAGCAAGGTGGAAACAGTTGGCACAATGGGATGCCCACAGGTTTTGGACTCAAATCTGTAGTACAAATTCCAGTTGTACAATTTACAAGCTGTGAGCATTTGGATAAGTTCCTCAAAAATCTCTTAGCCTTATTCACTAATACACATCCACAGATTCATTCAGTCACTGTTCTAGACACTGCGGATTAAGTGTCTAGGCAGCCAATACCTCTGCATTTGTGGAACCTCCATTGATGGTGGGGGATAGAGTAGAGCTATATTTTAGGATTTCAGGGAGTGTGTAGTGATAAAACGTGGGGAATCCTCTTTTCCAGTTTGATTAAGAAATGTATTTTTGGGCTTCCCTGGTGGTGCAGAGGTTGAGTCTCAGAGCTCTCAAGCTATCCCCAGACAGTGCAGCTTGAATTCGACCCAGGCCAGGAAGCTAACCCACATAGCACAGGCGACCTCTCCTGTCTCGCCCACTGCTCCCCTCAGCAGTGTATTTTGGTGGGTCTGCCTGTTCTGCTCCCCACTCTATCTCTGGTGAGTCCACTCACCCCCCCCACACCTGTGGCCTGCTCCCCAGCTCTTGTATGCACAAATAAATAAATCTTTTTAAAAAGAGAAATATCTTTCTTCAAAACTAAACCAAAACAAACCCTGGAAGTCTGAGTGCAGAACTAAAGCTACAAAAAGGGAGAATAGGGTGTGGGAGCAATGCGGGGAGTGGCTTCAGTGGACTATGGTGGAGGATGGATCATGGGTGCTTTGATGGTGGAGTCAATGTGAACCTGTACATTTAAGTCATATACAGTGTTATAAACCAGCATTTCCTCAATAAAAAATAAAATGCAATATAAAAAAGATCTTCCTTAGGAAATGGCACTTTAGCAAAATGAAAATGACAGAAAATGACATTTTTTCACTTTATCCCATGGTATAAGTGAAATCAGTGACAATGTCAGTAAGTATCAAATAAGAAACATTGGTATGCTTCAGGATTGGAATTTAAATATACCTATGCAGTAAGAATAGTTTACAGGATGGGCCTCCCCGGTGGTGCAGCGATTGAGTGCTGGGTTGCAAAGCTGCTCTCTGCCTCTGAGGCGCCAGTTGGATCCCCGGTTGCTCCCCAGCCACTGGAGCAGGGTCCTACATGGCGCGCAGACCTCTCCTGCCGCCCGCTGCTCCCCTCAGCAGTGTACTTCGGTCCTTCTGCCTGCTCTGCTCCCTGCTCTGGCTCTGGTGGATTCTCTCACCCTCCTGCACTTCTGACTGTACCCAGTGCTTGTATAAATAAATAAATAAATAAATAAATAAATAAATAAATAAATAAATAAATAAATAAATAAATAAATATTAAAAAAAAAGAATAGTTTACAGGCCTTCTGCCCTGGCAATTAGGTGAAGTATAAGGTGTCTAGCATAGTGGACAAACCTGAACAAACTCAATAAATGCAAGTTTCCTTCTCTACCATTCCCATCTATCATACTGACTTAGAACTGGAAGGACTGAGAAAGAGGAAATAAAATCATACAATGTTGATCAGCACTGTTACTTTCTGCCATCTCCTACTCTCAGCACACTGTGTGCATCTAAATATGGTAGGTCGTAGTCTCCCTGAAATATACAATAGCAAGCAAAAGTTACTTCTTTTTGAATTCTTGACAATGTTTTCTAATAGCATCTTGGTCAATGTTTATACTTACTAGAATTTCCCAATTATGTAATGCTAAAATTAAAAAAAAATGGGGGTGTTTAAATACGTGATCCACCATTTGCTACTTGTATGATCTTCAAGTCATCTCATCTCTTTGATATTTTATTTCCTTATTTGTAAGATAATAATATAATTTTAATCATAAAGTTTAACATTTACTGTGCCTACACTATAATGTTCGCTGTGTTAAGATGTTAACATTTATTCTTTACAATCACTCCCTGGTACATCTGGATTTTTCTTCCCTCATACAGAAGATGAATCTGATGTCCACACAAGTCAGTTGCCCAAATTCACATCACTGGTGAGTTTCAGAACTAGTATTTTTTTAAAAAGACTTTCTCTCCAACTTTGTGTACTTGCTCCTTAGTCAAAGGTCGATGTGTTTATATAGATATATTTATGTCGATATATTTATGTCGATGTGTTTCTAAGTTTTCTATTCTGTTCCATTGACCTGTGTATTCTTTTGCAAACACCACACTCTCTTAATTGTGGTTTTAAAGTAAGTCTCAAGGTTGAGCAGTATCAGTCCACCAATGTCATTGTTCAGTATTGTGTGGGCTATTCTTTTGCCTCTTTATATAAACTTTAGAATCAGTTAGTTGATAATAACAATATAACTAGATGGGAATTTGATTGGGATGGCATTGATTCAGGCTTATATAATAATGAATCATTTTTACAGGTTTCTGAGTGCTATTTCTATTCTGAGACGTGAAACAAACATCTTTAGATTTGGTTTTAGTCCAGACCTAAGGGCAGGAGTGCCATCTGCTGAATTATTGCTTATGTTTTGTATTTTGCCCAACACACTGAACCCTAGAATAAATTCATGTGGACTTCAGTATCCCACAAAATTCTGAGGCCTGGTGGACCACTGGCATTATTTCAGTGTAAAAATCAGCCAGTAATTTGTCAGCTTTAACAAATGTTTCTTTACTTCATTGCTATTAGTAATTTTGTGATATTTTTTCTTTCATGACTCTTTCTGTCTAGCTCTAAATTAGATATAGATAATAAAAACCTACCAAGGAATCTTAGGATAAATCATTTATCTTAGTTTTGTTGTGGTTTTCCCTGTTTTTAAGTCATGAGTATTTTTCCAAATGATAAATACAGCGCTTCTTAACCTAGAACTGAAAAGTTTTAAAATTTATAACATGTAAAACAGTAATAATAATCTTACTGCTCAAGTATATCTATCATGAATATTTTATATCTCATTCTCTTTAACTTTTATTGTCAATAGAAAAAGAAACACTGTACACAAAAATTAATTTTTCTCCTGTTCATAAATGCCATAAAATAACGAATGATTTGGGAAATCCAAATTCAGGTCAGGAAACAAAGTGTTACTCTGGTACTAGACTTACTCCAAGGGCCTCCCTGGCGGCACAGTGGTTAAAGTCTCGTTATCAAGCTATCACCAGCCACTGCACTTGAGTTCTGTCCTGACCCAGGGAGCTACCCACATGGTGCAGTAGACCTCTCCTGTCTCTCCCGCTGCTCCCCTCTGCAGTGTATTTCAGTAGATCTGCCTGTTCTGTTCCTGCTCTGTCTCTGGTGAATCCTCTCATCCCCTGCACCTCTGTCTTGTATGCATAAATCAATAAAATAAATCTGAAAAAAGACTTACCCCAATATCACATACACTGAATATATTTATATTTGAGTCTGAGAGCAATTTGACAAAAATATTATTTAATTCATAATTTCATAATGCCTCCAGATTTTAAGCACACTGTGTCAGAACTACAATCTTTCAAAACTTGAATTACTATCATTCACTTTCCAGATTTGTAACACTTTTCTAGCACATAAATGTATTTAATTAGAATCCCTCTCATTTATTGTTTTCAAAGAGTATTACCAATTCAGCTAAATAGGTAAGTTCTAACTACTTTCCAAATAAGATACAAATTATTAAATATAAAATACAGCTCTGACTACGAAGTACACTGACAAAGTACACTGACGAAGTACACTGCTGAGGGGAGCAGCGGGCGGCAGGAGAGGTTTGTCGCGCCATGTGTGACCCTCCCCGGGCGGCCTGGGATCCAGCCGGCACTGCAGAGGCTGCGGCAGGTTCGCAACCCAGTGCTCAACCGCTGCACCACCACGGAGGCCCGAAAACTGCAGTTTTACAATAGTTTTTGTCCCTGAAGCAGATTTTTCAAATCTGATTTCAATTAAAAGTTGTCTATATTTTATCACCTTGCAATTCCCTTATGTTTGATCTCATACCACTTTAATCATCATAAAGAGGTTGATACCTTTGGAAAATATTCATTGGAAATATTCATTGGAAAATTAAGAAAAATTCTAGGTTGAAAATAATATCTAGTAAGTAATAGCTACTAAATGAAATTAAAACTCTGAACATTTAGTTAGCTCTGTAACTTTGTTCACGTCACATCGTCTCTCTGAGCTCCAGTTGCCTGATCAATAAACCAAAGATATTGAACATAAGTGATCATAACATCTTTTCTATCTTTTATGCCCAGTTAATCTAACAGTCTGTTTCAACTTAATAATCTTCCTGACTTTGGAAGAAATCACATCACACCATTTTCAGTTCCTGCCACCCTATCCCACCCTCCAGCCTTTGAGTCAGAATTAATTACAGCAAATTGATTACACCTCTTGAATAGCACTTATGCTCACTTGCCTTATTTAACAAATCATTCCCATCCCTGAGAATCCTTATGACCACTTGTGCCCTTCACAGTTCCAGGGACACCATAGGGAGAGCTACACAGTAAAGGCCTCCAGGGGAGCTGTCAGGGAATAACCACAGCCTGGATTTCAAGATTTCTCCCATAAAATGTATGTTGCTTGAGGACAGAGACTGTGTTTTATCCATGATATAGATAATATAAAACCTTGCTCACAGTTTTGCATACAATGGGCTTTCACTAAATACATACATACACACTGAATGAACAAAGAACCATGGATGAGATGTGCCATCCTTTAATCAGTAATTAGTTCCTAGTATGGTGTATACAGTGGAAAACGAGCATTCCATCAGGTTCGCTTGCTAAGATAGACTGTGTCTCCTTGAAAAGAGATCTTACAAAGTTGATCCCCCATTAGAAAAAGCAGGGAGGCAGACAGTGTGGAGGGAGAGTGCTAAAAAAAGGAGCAAGGAAGGAAGGGAGTCAGGGAGAGAGAGAAGGAGGAGCCATGAAATCTGAGACTGCAGTGTTGCTGTTTTTCTCAGGATTTACTTTTCTTCTTTCCTATTTTAGGTATTTTCGATTAATGACTGAAATTAAGTAAAACTGGTATTTCTTTTGAACCCTTTCAAAGTATAAGGAAAAATTTTCTTTTTTTGTTATTGGAAAAATATTTTGAAAACCAAAATATTCTCTAAGCTAAAATATACCCTGCAAAACTGAAATTTCAAAAGATTTCAAAGAACTGATGTCCAAATCAGTGATAGATAACATGTTTAGTTTAAAATCAACTAAACCTGCTTAATTATTAAATGATTGCCTAAATATGGGATTATATAATTTTATAATATTTAGATAAATATTCTTGTTTGTTGTTTACTTCAATTTTTGATTAAGTGTAATTTAGTAAAATAAATCTAAGCTATATACAGTTACACTGTATTTATGTAGTGATGAAAATGCATTAATAGCATTCACTCAGCATATTTGTATAGTTTGATATTATGTGTCAGACAGATGTATGCCAGTGAAAAATCGGTGCAAAATTTCTGCCCTGGTGGAGCTTTCATTCTAATGGAAGATCACGTAAATAATGTAAAAAATAGATACTATGCTATAAGGTATTAACTACTAGAGAGAAAAATCAAGCAAGGAAGTGGAATAGGAAGTATAGATATAGGAGTGGTACTTTAAGCAGAGTGGCCATAAAAGACCTACCTTGCAGATATTTGAGCAGCATATAAAAGTGAGGCAGGGGCCTCCCAGGTGTCGCAGGTGGTTGAGCGCAGCGCTGTGAAGCTGTCCACGGCTTCTGCAGCATGGATTTGATCCCGGCCGCCCAGGGAGGTGCCCACATGGTGTGGCAGACCTCTCCTGTCCCCGCTGCTCCCCTCAGCAATGTATTTCAGTCAGTATGCCTGTTCTGCTCCCCCCTCTCTGGTGAGTCCTCTTACCCTCCTGTGCATCTGGCCTGTACCCCGGGTCTTATATGAATAAATAAATAAATCTTTATCAAGATTTTGCTTCTACTGTCCTCTCCCTCTACCTATACTGCAAAGACATAAAATGTCTTTATATTGACCTATATCAAAACCAGCCACAGAGATCATATTTTATATTTTCTTGATGCTGCTCCAAAGGTAGGATCCCTACAATTAGGGATGCTATCCATGTGAAACATTCAAGAAAAATCTCATTAGCCTGAGTTGTCAAAATAACTTAGCCAGGTCATTTCCTCAGCAATTTGTCTGTTCACCATAAAACTAAACAATCTGGGTCTTCATTTTGGCCTTCACTTCTTTTCTTTATAGAAACCACACAACACTGGACTATGTAGGTGTTATCCAAGTTATCAAACATCCCTGAAGAGTCCCAAGTTCCCAGATCACTGTGTCTTCTTGGTCTTCTTGCAGCCCCAAGAAATGGAACCCTCTTTCTTGTGTATGGGAAATTTAGGGGTATCTCCCCCTTACCTCCTTTGATTCACTTTGCTATTCCCATAATAAATTGACATGAGTGAGATTAGAAAGAGAAAAGTTGTATTTTGCGTACATACAGGTCCATAAAATATAGAAGCCATGATCAGGTCAACAAGCTAGATTATATAGTTTTTAGGAAGGGGTGCTAAATTTGGGAGGAAAAGAAAAAATATAGGACAATGAAACTTTTAGATTTATATGCAATTTAGAAAGGAATTTTGTGGGTTTTGTTTGTTTGTTTTTTACATAGGAAAACAGACTTTGGAAACTGTAGTCTGGAGTGATAAGGCTGTCTCCCACTTCTAAGTGCTAGGAAGGAAATAATTATTTCCTGCTTCTAGGGCAGCAGGTAATTGAGAAAAATGTTGTTCTTGGATCTGCTATTTCTAAATTGCCTTGATTTAAAATAATCAGTGTACCAATCAGGTCCAACCTGGGCAGCCTGTCGTTGGCCTCAACACTGTTGACTCCAGAATACACACCTCTCATTTTTCTTACTTTTCTTTTTTTGTAAAAAAAGTTTTTTAAGATTTATTCATTTATACAAGAAGCGGGGTACAGGCCAGATGTGTGGGAGGGTGAGAGGATTCACCAGAGACAGAGCGGGGAACAGAACAGGCAGACTGACTGAAACACACTGCTGAAGGGAGCAGCAGGCGAGACAGGAGAGGTTTGCCGCACCATGTGGGATTCTTGCCCGCCGGCCGGCCGGGATCAAACCTGCACTGCAGAGGCTGCAGACAGCTTTACAGTGCTGTGCTCAACCCTCTGCGCCACCAGGGAGGCCCTCACTTTTCTTTGTTGCCTTCCAGGCCTGATGTCTTAGGCATACTTCTAAATGTTTTCCCTGAAAATTCATTCATAATGCAATTATGAAGGAGCGCTTCAAATAGTATCTCTTCTGAGGAATTATATTTGAATAAGAGGTCAAGAGCTCATGGTAAGGCCCCGGATTCCTTGGTTACTAAGGAACAATTTGGGAAGAAGTTTGTGGAGGAAAGGCTGTTTTCTAATCAGCTGTGAAACAGGCTGATTTCCCCACCAGTCTCTTGTTATTCATCACCTGGGCACTCTGAAACAAGCCAATTTCTGAATAAAAAGAACAATATTATTAACCCAGTCCCATGCTCTTTCTTATACCTTTTATCACAGTCCTCTAAATAAGAGAATAGAGAATGTTAACATCTGCTAGGATACTTAGTATATAAATAAGATATTTATGTATATTGGGCTTAACATATGAGGCAATAGTCTCATATTAAATTTGGAAGAACTTATACTGACAGGAAAAAGTTTTCAAGATGTAAGTACAAGGGGAGAAAGTATGATGTAGTATGATGTGTCTTTATAAATATGTTTACTATGTATCTGCATATAAACACATAGATGGAATGTACAAACATAGCTAGAAACATATGAACATAAAGTGTCACCTTTAGCAGGTGAATTAGATGGATAACTTTCTTGGTTATTCTCCATAAAATTTTTTAATTTCGAAATTTATATATTTAATTTGCAAATGGATAATTTTGTTTTTCCCATTCCTTAAAGACTCCACCGAAAACCATTATAGACTTGAGCAAGACAGTGGCAGAGTGAAGATGCAAATTCACCTCTTTCTTGTACTCTCAGCAGAGCAAGGTCAGTAACTCCTGAAGGTAAAACAAAGGACTGCAATATGCACTGGGGGCAACATCCTTGGGAGGAGGTGGGGCCCTAGCCCAGCCATAAGCCACTCCAGGAGCCTGGCCACCAATCCAGCCACCCCCAACTGCCAACTAATTGCCATGAGAGATAGGCCACCAGCTGGCAGCTTCATGAACAAGACTCAGGCTATTCCTGGACCCCAGTTAGCCAAAGCAAGAGCCCAGCTACCAGCCACCAACTTCATAAGCTAGAACCAGGTTCCTAATGACCTGTAGCTTCCAGATACAGAAGCCCATAATGTACCTGGGAGAGCCTTGAAACTTCCAGCCGCCAGCTGTAGGAGCCCAACCACCTGCTGAGGAATCAACAACAGGGCCTAGGTCCCACTGGAGCGTAAGATGGAGGAACACAGGTCAGAGAGACAGACCTGTAGATAACAGTGAGATTGATTATCCTTTGGACAGAAGACACTATTATAGACTTCAACAGATTGGACACTGAAAAGTTTCACACTACATTCAACAGGATGGATGGAGAGAGAAATCTGGGGTTGTGATTCACAGAAGAGAGCAATGATATCAGGGCTGTTCACCCAGCCAGGGAATGCAGGGAGGAGGGAGCAGAGGTTGTGTAGAGGTCCACACCCTTGAAGGAAGGGAAAGGCTTGTGAAAGAGTTGGAGTTCTACATACACGGTCCCCAGTAGAGAGAATTGTAGAGTAAGCATTCTGATCTGCTCTCCCCCTTCCCACCTACTCAGAAGATGCTTAACTTGCCAGGTATAACTGAGAGTACAGGGACTGCTTAACCTTCCATCCTAAGATCCAGAGAGGAGTTTTATGGGGGGGTTACCTCAGACAGAAGCCAGTCCCACTATAAGTCATCCACACTAATATCTGGATACTTCCAAGCCCCTCCCCAACCCTGCTGATTCAATAACTACGAAACAGACCCCTGCACATACAAAAGTAACCAAAGGACAAAATAAAATCAAAGAAATCCACACTATCATCTGTGGGAAGAGTAAATTAGTTTAAACCATTAAGATACTGGCAATGATACTAAAAATAGAAATAAAAGTGAGAGACCTCAAATAGTAAAATGGGCAGACAAAAAATATAACACATGGAAATAGAAGACCTCAAGAGAGCACACCATCACAAGGTGAGCACACCTCTTCAGAATCCAAACACAAAAAAGACAAAAGACTATCTCCTTATCATATAAAGAGTTCATAAACGCCATAAAAAAAAAAAACTCATTGTGACAGGAGAAAATTCTGAAGGGCAAGTCAACGAAATATAAGAGAATTCGGGAAAACATATTAATGAGATCAGAAATAAAATCTAGGAACAGGAGATAGAAATTGAAGCAACAAGAAAATAACAGAAATTCAGGAGTTAGAGAACCTTAATAAATGAGATCACAATAAATGAGGTCAAGAACTCTACAGAGGGCCTCCCCTGGTGGCGCAGGCGTTTGAGCGCCGCACTGTGAAGCTGTTTGCAGCCTCTGCAGCGTTGATTCGATCCCGGCCAGCTGGTGGAGGGTCCCACATGGCACAGCAGACCTCTCCTGTTGCACCCGCTGCTCCCCTCAGCAGTGTATTTTGTCAGTCTGCCTGTTTTGTTCCCCGCTCTGTCTCTGGTGAAACCTCTCACCCTTCCACACATCTGGCCTGTACCCAGTGCTTGTATAAAATAAATAAATAAATTGGGCCTTCCCTGGTGGTGCAGCGGTTGAGCGCTGGGCTGCGAAGCTGCCCGCAGCCTCTGCAGCACTGGTTCGATCCCCGGCCGCTGGCAAGGGTCCCACATGGCACACAGACCTCTCCTGCTGTGCCCACTGCTCCCCTCAGCAGTGTATTTCGTCAGTCTGCCTGTTCTGTTCCCTGCTCTGGCTCTGGTGAATTCTCTCACCCTCCCGCACTTCTGACTGTACCCAGTGCTTGTATAAATACATAAATAAAAATATTTAAAAATATATAAATAAATAAATAAATCTTAAAAAAAAAAGGAACTCTATAGAAAGCTATGGGAGTAGAAGAAATCAAATGGAGGATCAAATCAATGACCTCAACGTTAGTAATGCACTAAGAATCCAGGTGGGAGAACAAAGAGAAAGGAGATGTAAAAATAAAAATAAAGAGGAAATCTGAGACCTATCCAACACCATTAAGAAAGCCACTTAAGAATAATGGTTATCCCAGAAGGGGAAGAGTGAAATAGGGGAAAAAAGGACCTAGTCAAGGAAATAATAAATATAAAATATAATAAATCATTTTCTGCAAGACTCTCTACAATTTGTTGGTTCACAAAATAAGTATCAATAAATACATGAATATTGCAAACACAGCAAGCATCTTCTCTGATCACAATGATATAAACTAGAAATCAGTCACAGGAAAAAATCTCAATGTGTGGAAACTGAACAACAAACTACTGAATGACTACAGAATTAAGAGGGGATCAAAGAAAAAAATAAAATATACCCGGAGACAAATGAAAATGAAGACACAACATACTAGAACCTCTGGGATGCAACGAAAGCAGTTGTAAGATGGAGGGCTATAGCAGTACATGACCACATAAAGAAACAAAAAGATATCAAATAATCTTTTTTCTAACTTTAAGGAACTAGGAAAAGAGCAAACAAAATAAAAAAAAAAAACCAAAACCAAAGAATGAAGAAAATAATAAAAAATAGAGCATATATAAGTGGGCAAAAGACAGTCCAACAGATTCACACCAAAAATTCTTTCCTTAAAAATATAAACAAAATATATAAACCTATAACAAGGCTCACAAGGAAAAAGGGAGAAACTGAAAAAATGGAATCAAAAATAAAACAGTAGATGATATAACAGACATCTCAAAAATATAGATCGTAAGAGATTACTTTTGTGCCAACATCTGTATGCCAACAAACTGGAAAATCTAAAAAAAAATTGATGCATTCTTAGGATCATATAACCTTCCAAGACTGAATCAGAAAGAAATAGAAAACTTGAACAGTCCAATTACAAACTAAGAAATTGAAACAGTAAAAAAAAAAAAAAAAAAAAAAAATCTCCCCCGCAAAAGTGCCCAGAAGCAAACTGTTTAATTGTGAATTCTACCAAACTTTTGAAGGAAAATTAATACCTATCTTCAAATTCTTCCCCCAAACAAAGGAATGTGGAATGCTCTTAAACACATTCTGTGATATCGACAGTATTCTATTACCAAAAGCAAATAAGGACATCACAATAAATGGAAACTATAGACCAATATCTGTGGTGAACATAGATACAAAAATCCTCAAAAAATCATAGCAAACTGAATTCAGCAATACATCAAAAAGATCATACATCATGCCCAAATGGGATTTATTCCTGGAAAGTAAGAATAGATGAACAAACACAAATAAGTCAATGTCATTCACCATGTTAACAAAATAAAAGATAAAAAATTGTGTGATCATATCAATAGAGTCAAACAAGGCATTTGACAAGATTTAGCACCCCTTTATGGTAAAACTCTCAATGAAATAGTGTTAGAGGGAACATACCTCAACATAATAAAGGCCATAATAAAGGCCAACAGGTAACATCATACTTAATACTGATAAATTGAAAGGTTTTCCTCTAAGATCAACTGCATGACAAAGACGTCCATTTTTGCCACTACTGTTGAACATAGTATTCAAAGCCCTAACTAGAGCAATTAGAAAAGAGAAAGATATAAAAGAAATCCTAATTGGAAAAGAAGTAAAAGTGTCATTATTTGCAGATGACGTGATTTCATCAAATATTACCATCTGATATTTTCTCTCCAGTCTCTTATGGCATCAACCAGAGAGATGCACAAGTTGCTAAGGTCAAGAAGCTGGTGCATGCTATTCTTTGTGGACTTGTCCCCAAGGGAATAAGTCAGAGGACACTCAAACTGAAACATGGCACACAGATGTCCCTTTTCCTTAGATCGTTTCAACATTTAAATGCATTTGACAGTCTAAGCACATAGTTTCTTTCTGAAGGTTTTCTGCTGAAGGTTATACCATGCTTTCCACTGAAACATAAATCCGTTGGCTGTTTGTTAAGCCTCCTGTACAATGAAATCAAAGCAATCGTCAATGGATAGGGTTCACTGGGAAATGTAACCTGGCTTCTCCACACCACAAAAAATGTATTAAGTAATGCTAGAGGTTTTGTCCACACTCTACACGCAACATCTCTCTTTGTAGGGGAAATTTTTACTGCAGTGATTCTCCTTGCACCTGCCAACTCCCTCCTTCTCCTGAAAACACAAATTCCCATTCCACATTGAAGAATGAGTAATGCCTTTAAGTGCCCAGAATATGTTTGTAATAATTGATATTTCATCGTCTGGTGCCAGGCCTGCACGAATGGAATGCTTTATGTTGAAGGCTCAGGAATGTGTTTTTGTCCCTTTGGTCTCCTGCCCAGAATGCAGGACTAATGCAACCCCAGCACATAAAAGACAGCATCTCTCAAAATGCAGGATCACCAGAGGATTGCATAGTGTATCAGAGCTATCAAAGTTTTCTACAGGGCAATAAAACTATGATACACAAAAATAACCTAAGCAAAGAAAAGCACCTGGGTTTTTCTAAGGAAGTCAGATCTATACTAATAGGGATGGCATGGTATGAATTTAAATGCCAAAGGTCATCACACCTCTGAACTTGCTTTCTTTAATCATTTTTGCTATTAATCCTTCTGTCTCTGCTCTTCAAGCTGCCTCCACCGTTATATTTCACATCAGATTCGGGTCTGAGTAGTAATACCTTAACAATATGCTTCCATATATGCCTTCCAAATACCTTTTTAAAAATATTTAATTATGAAAGTAGATTCCTCTTGATTTATTTTATTCCAAATAGGATTATTCACCTCAGTGATAAACAAGAATAAATGAGGTATGAGAAAGTAAAATGATCCTGAAAATAATAAGATTGGAATATGAAAAAATCAAATCTTTATTTCAAATAGTA